ATCCCAGTCCAAAATCCATAAATATACTGCCTTCATTGTGAATGACTTCCAGCATTAGAAGTACCATCTTGACATGTATTAACTTTGGCAAAATTTTCCTTTAGTATTACAGATGTATTTTCGTGTGGCTTGTTTTGCTTCACATAACTTATTCCATTCTTACAATGTCTTTCTGAATCATTTCATTTTTAGGTCTGTCCTATATAAGACATAAAGTTGGGAGTTTCTTTGAAGTAAGACACCATGTCAACCTCTGGTTTCCACATGCATGCATACAGTTGATTTGGAGCATGTTATGAGAATCCCCAGCCCTCAAGTTGAAAAAAGTGATAATCATTCATTTAAAAAATTAAGAAATAGTAGCTGGAGAAATGGCTCAGTGCTTAAGAGCATTGACTGCCTGCTTTTGCAGAGGACCTGGGTTCGATTCCCAGCACCCACATGGTGGCTACGAACCATCCTTCACTCCAGTTCCAGGGGAATCCAAAACCCTCTTCTGACCCCTGCAGCATTGCATGACATGGGTGCATTCATATATATGCAGGCAATACACTCATACACATACAATGAAAATAGTAAATAAAGATATTTTTAGTTAAGAAAAATTTTTAAATAAAAAATGATTTTTTTATCTTAAAAAAACAAAAACAAACAAACAAACAAACAAAAAAAAACAAAAAAAGTGGGTTGGTGGTGCATGCATGCCCATAGTCCCAGCACTTGAAGCAGAGGCAGACATCTCTGTGAGCTTGAGGCCAGCCTGGTCTACACAGCACATTCCCAGCCAGGCTGGTCTATATAATGAGACCTTGTTTCAAAAACAACAAAAATAAAATAATATAAAATAAAACATTAATTATTTTAAAGATGACAAAATTAAGTTTTATTTTATAAAACTTATAAAATTTATAGTAAAACCTAAAACAGATTAATTAAATGCAGCATATGAATTTTATGTATTTGAGTTCAGAAGTGTAATAGATAATAAAGACACAATTTCCCCAACAATAAAAAGAAGCATTGAACATGCACCTAGGTAGATTATGTCTATAACACTGGGGAAAGAAACAAAGGCATGGAAAAAGTGGGAAAAAAAATGCCAGTTTTTATTTTGCACTCTTCTATGTCATGAAAATTTAACACTTCTAGTGTCAGATGAGTACTACAATTAAAGGTTGTTTTGTTTTGTTTTTTTTTGTCCTAGTGTCAGATGAGTACTACAATTAAAGGTTGTTTTGTTTTGTTTTTTTTTTGTCTTTTTTAGACAGGGTCTCCCTGTAGCCTCAGCTGTCCTGGAACTCACTATGTAGACCAGGCTGGCCTCGAATTCACAAAGATCCGCCTGCCTCTGTCTCCCAAGTGCTGGGATTAAAGGCATGCACCACCACGCCCAGCAATTAAAGGTTGTTTTGATATCTATAAAAACAACTACCTTAACTCAGGACAATCATGCATTAAGGTATGACTGATTGATCTACTGATAAGGAAATTTCTAGTTTGTGGCTTAATAGGTCACAAATACCAACAGATTAATATTCTCACTGACATGGAAACCGAAAACTGTAAGAATACAATACAGTTTTAAATATTAGCATCATTTTTCAAAAATTCCTCGAAACCAGAACATTACTCTATGAAATTTTGACTCCAAGGACTCAATACTGAAGTTTGCCTCCACATGTCTTCTGTCATGGATTCTGTATCTACAAGTCTTTCTGTGGAAACGGAAACTAGTGAAAACTTTTTATGCTATTATTTTAAAAGCAATACACTAGCATCATTAACACGGAATTTTAAGCTACCTCTTAGTCATAGATTGGCAACTGTAAATACAGTTATATGGAAACAATAGATTGTATAGAGGAGAAGGATGTATATCAAAGGAGATTAGGGATAATAAGGAATATCTGAGAATAAGTCCTTCAGTATTCTTACCTAGATTGCTTCAGAATAGGCATGCATTACAGTTTTTTTTGGGGGGGTGTTTTGTTTTGTTTTGTTTTATAGACAAGATCTCACTCTGAAGCCTTGGCTGGTGAGGAATTCACTATGAAGAACAGGCTGCTTCTAAAGCACAGAAATCTGCCTGCCTCTGCCTCCTAAGTGCTGGGATTAAAGGTATGTGCTACCACATTGGGCCTTTATCTAATATTCTTTTATGAAAATAAATCATTTCACACTTAATGAACCTATTTCTCTTACTATAAAAAATTCATTACATGGGGCTAGAAAGATGGCTCAGTGGTTAAGAGCCCTGACTGCTCTTGCACAGGACCCAGGTTCGATTCCCAGCACCCACATGGTGGCTAACAACTGTCCATAACTCTAGTTCCAGGGGATCCAATGCTCTCTTCTGTCTTCCGTGGGCACTGTATGACATGGGTGCACTTATATACGTGCAGGCAAAACACTCATACACATAAAATAAAAATAAATTTTAAAAGACTGAAAATAAAAACAGGAAGGGAAAAATGCAGGTATGATTTATCATTTAACACTATACAAAAAACAGTCAATATAAACCACAATGCAAATGGGAGAATTAAAGTATATTTAATAACATTTTCTAACCTCAGTATTACTCAGGATTTCTTTAAACCACTTTCTAATGTCTTCTATCTCCAGTGTTTCAAAAGAGAAAAATTCAAGTTGATGAAGATAAAATCTACATGGCTTGATAGCATATTTGCATGAAAGTACAAAGAACCAATAAGCATGTAGTGTTTCCCATGAGAGAGCAGCACACGCTCCTACATGCTTGGAACACATTCGTACTCCACAACAGAGATCAAAGTAACCCTACTTTCAGACCAGAAGTATCTGTCAGTTTAAATATACTTTCACAAAATCCAGTTTCTATCCAATAACTGATAAAAAGTAATTGAAAGATGTTACTAGAAACACACACTCAACATCCTACATTGTTTTACTAGTCCCATTCTAAAGACATGTGCATGAACACAAAAGTAACATTGGCCTAACAAATTATAGAGTAAGGACTCATGGATAGGTTGACTGGGTAAATGGATGGATGGATATAAACACTTGAGGAAGGGAAGCAACATAGAAAGTACTCAAACTAAATCAATAGCATTTACAGTCCTAAGATGATGTGTTAGGTCTTTGACATATGACAAACATCCAAAACAATTTGTTTTGGTTTGCTGCTGTTGTTGTGGATGTGATTTTGAGACAAACCGTTCTCATTAGGCACACCAGGCCAGCTTGGACCTCATAGACATGCACCTGCCTCTGTTCTCCAAGTGTTGGGATTAAAGGCATGCAAAACACCATGCCCAGTATAGTTGCAAAACACCATGCCCAGTATAGTCCACGATTGGTTGGCTCTTGTTTCTGGACTATGGTAAAGCTAAATATCAGGTCAGGGAGCAACTGGTAGGACAATACAGCTTACCTCATGGCAGAGAGCTGGTTGAGAGAAAGACTGGCAGTAACTGAGGACAAGGTCTGTCATTCTATGGCACACTCCCAGTGACTGGCTTCCTTCAGGAACACCCCCCCCATGCCCCCTCAGAGTCTCCACAACTTCTACAGGATTCAAACCTTTGCATGTGAACCTATGGGAGGTGTTTCATATCCAAACAAAAGCAAATATGTAAGAGTATATATAACAAGATCTACCACAAAGTTGCATGTGAGATAGAGATTAAAACATTAAAACAATTAGATCATCAAGGACCAACCCCAGCTTCAAGTCCTAAAAACCACCATTAATGACCAGCACAGCAAATGATATTGGTGCAGCAGTGGCACTTTTATCTTGGGGGCAATCAACAGCTACCTAATTGGACTTAAAGCCCACTCAATGGGAGGAAACTCATGTGTGGTTCTGTAAACCTAGCCAAATACATATAGCTGGAGAAGTCATAGATCTTAGAGAAAACTCCAAGGCTTTCACATCCTAGACTAATATAATATGAATCCTTAAATCTATAGACAAGTATTCCAATCACCACCCATCAAAGAAGCTTCTTTTTCAAGAGACAGAGATAGTTACAGAGTCCCACAACTCTGTGAATTGCCCAAGCCTGAGTGGCACATCTAGGATACAACCTCTACACCTACAGCTCATGGAACATAGAACAAGACATGATGAGAACACTAATGCATCTTTCAATTCTCATCAATAAAGATCCCTCATGTAACAGAAGGTCAGGAATACCAAAGGTCACAAATGGCCAAAACGCAGAGAATAAGAGTCTGCAGAGTATGCATGACCATACAGAAATATTCCTACAGGTTCCTGGGACTTTTCTTATATGAACCTACAGCAATGGTGTCAGCATGCACAAGGCTCATGCAAACTAAAGCAGACAAAAACACAGCACAGAACTGTGGAAATGGACAGCAGGCTCCAATCTTGGTCAAAGAATTATTGGCAGCTGATTACTGCTGGGTGAGGAAGAGCTGATCTTCTTAAAGGGAGGGTCTCTAGACAGGCTGACTAGATGCCAGTAGATGAACTTGTAGTGAGGGGCATTTGGGGACACAAACTTTACATGCGAGGCCTTAACACAAATGACAAAATGCATAAACTCCAGTGGGGGAGTTTTAGGAGGGTGCCAAAGGAGAAGGGAATATAAAGATGATATTCTGTATGAAATACACAAAAATTCAATAAAAATTAAAAATAAATAAAATTTAAAAAAACAATTAGATCACCAAAACTGAAAAAGATCTACATAATAGGGAAAGTTATAGTAGTCATTTCACACTTTAAAAATATCTTTCCTTTAAAAGGGGTGTTCTGTGACTAAGCTAGAAGTTAATTCATCTTACCTTCAACAGAAGGTGCCTGGTCCTGAGCTGAATACAGCATATCCTTGAAAGCCTAATAAAATTTAAAAAAACAATTAGATCACCAAAACTGAAAAAGATCTACATAATAGGGAAAGTTATAGTAGTCATTTCACACTTTAAAAATATCTTTCCTTTAAAAGGGGTGTTCTGTGACTAAGCTAGAAGTTTTTTCATCTTACCTTCAACAGAAGGTGCCTGGTCCTGAGCTGAATACAGCATATCCTTGAAAGCCTATCAGAAAAAAAAAATATATATAAGAAATCACAAGTTCAGATTATTTTGAAAGCATTTGAGCTGAACTATTTTTTTTCAATGTCTATTGAGTACATTTAGTTCCCTAAATTAAGAACTTAGTGCAACAGTTCAGGGAACTTTAATAATCCATCTAGTATTATGTAATTTTCAAGATGAATGCTAATTTATACACTTAAAAATTAAAGGACATGCTCTGCTTCTGGGGGCCTGCAGGACCCCCAGGCTTCTCTCCAACCCACCGGCTTCTCTCTCTGGGGTAAGTCTATCCTGTCCTCCTTGCCTTGACTCCCCCAGCCTCACTTACCCTCCCATCAAACCCACTGGTCTCTCCTCCTAGCCTGGGTCTTGTCCCATTCCTTGTCTGGGTGTTCCAGACACCTGGGGAACCACCACTGCTTCTTCCTGATCCTGTGCATCTAGAACAACTCAGTTCCTTCTCAGGTTCCCAGGAGCACTGCTTCTAGGTCTGGTCCCATCCTCACCTCCCTCTGCCTCCCTGGGTCTGCACAACCCACCAGCCTCTTTCCTGGACGCCAGGGCTGACCTTTCCTCTTCTTGATCCTTTGCATCCAGACCAACCCAGGTACTCAATGCAGTCCCCAGGTGCCCTTGGGGCCACCTCCCGCCGCCAGCTTCCTTTGCATCTCTGGGTGACACCATCAGCAGCTGCCCCAGACCAGCATCTTTCCTGGGCCCACCTCCCAGGCAAGTCCAACCCCCAAATTCCTGAGGCCAAAATCTATCCTGGAGGGATCCAGACTTTAGGAGAAAGCCTGAGAGCATCTGGTCCTCATCTGACTTGGGCCTCTGTGGGAACTCCTGAAGAAAAAAGCAATCTGGCCATTCCAATATAAAATCAAAAGAGAGAACTGGAAGCTTAGAAGAACCAGCCTTGCATGCCCAAAAAGTAAACCACAAAGACACATAAAGTTCACAAAAAGAAACAGAACTAAACTTGAAGGCTTGAGTCTCACACAAGAATCACAAACTACGAAAGAAATTCACATGTCAAAATCACAGAGAAAAAAATAACATGAAAAACCAAAATAACATATCCCCACCAAAACCAACAGTCCTCTAGAGGAATACAAAGAGAACCCCCCTAGAGATAATGCAGGACATGGAACTAAAAAGAACACTTATAAACATAATAAAAGAATTCAGTGAATGTAAAGAATATACAAACAAAGAAATCAAAGAACTGAAGGAAGAAAGGCATAAACTTCTGAAAGAATTCAGAAAAGAGGAATATTGAACAATACTTAGGCTGAAATGAAGAACGAAGTGAAACA